GTCTCACAAACTGAGATCATGACCTGAGCCGAAATCAGGAGTTGGACATTAACCTACTAAGCCACCCAGGCGCCCTACAATAAATTCTCGGAATGCTATTCATTATCTGGGTATTGATACTGGCCATCTGGTATAGGCAACTGGTGTTTGTGCCAAAACTTCTCTTCACCCAGGACAGGCAACCTTTATTTTATTTATGTATTAAAAAAAATCTTTTTTAATGTTTATTTATATTTGAGAGAGAGAGAGGCAGACAGAGCATGAGCCAGAGAGGGCCAGAGAGAAGGGGAGACGGGCTCTCTCTGCTGGAAGCAGGCTCCAGGCTCTGAACTGTCCGAGTAGAACCCTAGAAAATATTGAAGCCTATGGAGAAACTGCTATTCTTGGAGATCTAGCCTGGTGATTCATAAGAGCCACTGAATACCCTGAGGCACAAAGGGGGCCAGTGAGAGCCCCTAGCCCCATCATTTGTAGATGGCACACCCTCAGTTTAAGTGACTTGTTCTGGGCCTCACTGCTGACTGGTGGCAAAGCACATCCAGATTCTAGTTTCTCTGGTGCCAGAGCAATGTCTTTGTTATCCATTTGTATCTAAGAAAGGAGAGAAAATTTCTCTGTTCTTTGAATGTTATTTTTGAGAGAGGGTGCATGCACTGGAGGGGCAGAGAGAGAGGGAGAGAGAGAATCCCAAGCAGGCTCTGTGGTGTCAGCACAGAGCCCAGTGTGGGGCTCCGACCCATAAGCCACGAGATCATGACCTGAACCAAAGTCCGGATGCCCAACCGACTGAGCCACTCAAGCACCCCTGGTTATCATTTTTAAAGTAAACTTTTTTTTTTTTTAAGATAAAATGCAGGGTACCCAGTTAAATTCGTATTTCAGATAAACAATGAAATTTTTAAATGAGCTTTTTGTAATTGAAGAATAACATACAGAAACGTACATAAACTCAAATGCAGACTCAATGGATTTTCACAAAGTCAGCACACATGTAGGTAACCAGTGTTCTTTGTATCCCGTCCCAGTCACCACCTCCCAGGATAATGGACCACTGTCCTGCCTTCTGAAAGTACACCTTAGTTTTGCCTGTTTTTTGAAGTTTATATAAATGGAATCACATAGTGATATATGCTTTCTTGTCTGGCTTTTTTCACTCAAGACTGTTTTTCCTTTTCTTCTCCAACTTTTGTTTGTTTTTCCACAGTAGTTTGTTTTACTTCCTTTTTTTTTCTTTTAGGTTTGAGGTATAACTTACATACAGTAAAACTGACTCATTTTACATGTACAGTTCGAATTGTGGTCATTGTATACAGTTAGGTAATCACCGTTGAGATCTAGGACCACTCCATCACCCTGAAAAAATTTCCTTGTGCTCTTTTGCAATTGATCCCTTGCCCTGATCCCAGGCAATTAATGTGCTTTCTTTCACCATAGTTTTGCTTTTCTAGAACTTCATAAAATGGAATCATATAGTACGTAGTCTTTTTGCATTTGACCTCTTTCGTTTAGCATAGTTTCTCATAATGTTTCTGAGATTTATCCATGTTGTGTATTCATTGTTGTAATATTCCATGATAGGAATGTACTGTTTATTATGTTGATGGACATCTGGGTTGTTTCTACTCTTAGGCTATTATGAGGAGTGCTGCTCTGATCATTCCTGTTCTTGCCTTGAGTGCATATGTGTGCGTTTCTGCTGGACCTGCATGTAAAAGTGGAACTGCTATGTTCAGGTTTAATAGGTGCTGCCCACAGTTTTAAAGTGGTTGTACCGGTTTATACTCCAACTTTATGAAAGTTCTGGCTTTTCTATATCCTCACCATCACTTTCGTGTTTGATGTTTGTTTATTTTGAGAGAGAGCGTGTGTGCACGCATGAGCTGGAGAGGGGCAGAGAGAGAGGGAGAGAGAATCCCACACAGGCTCCACACTGTCAGTGCAGAGCCCGACCCTGGGCTCGATCCCAGGAACCACGAGGTCATGACCTGAGCTGAAATCAAGAGTCAGGCGCTTAACCAACTGAGCCACCCAGGTGCCTCCTCACCAAAACATGATGTTTATCTTTTGTAATTTTAGCCATTCTGTAAGTCAGTAGTTGTAATTTAAGAACAAGAAATTAGTGTGATAAATTGCCACCTGTTTTATAGGATCTTCTCACCAAGCAAGCTCTTGTGTTGGTGGGATTTTATTTTGTCTGGTTTATCTTTACTTTTTTCTTTTAATGTTTATTTATTTTTGAGAGAGAGAGAGACAGAGTGTGAGTTGGGGAGGGGCAGAGAGAGGGAGACACAGAATCTGGAGCAGGCTCCAGGCTCTGAGCTATCAGCACAGAGCCCGACACGGGGCTCGAACTCATGAGCTGTGAGATCATGACCTGAGCTGGTTGGTCACCCAACCGACTGAGCCACCAGGCACCCCTACTTTTTTTTTTTTTTTTAAGTAATCTCTACACCCAACGTGGGGCTCGAATTCACAATCCTGATATCCAGAATCGCATGCTCTACTAAGCCAGCCAGGCGCTCCTGTCTGGTTTTTCTTTTATAATTCTGTATTGTACTGCCATGGGTAGAATTGTTGATGAAAGTCCACATTCTATTATTCAGAAGATTGAACTTCCAGAGTAAGGCAATACTGAATTTTGCTTTGCCAGTGTTGTGTTTTGGGGAGAAGAGTGGTTAAGCTGAATGCTTGTTTTCAATTTGTTTTAGCCTTCAGGCCACTGAGAAACTAGTATATTTAGTTTCAGTAAATTTTTATTTTAGTCTGGAGGCAGTGGCTCATGTTACTGGCTTCTCTTTTGCTTTTCAGTGAGGTGCTGGCGGAGGAGTCAATAGTATGTCTCCAGAAAGCTCTGAATCACCTTCGGGAAATATGGGAATTAATTGGGATTCCAGAGGACCAGCGGTTACAAAGAACGGAGGTTGTAAAGAAGCATATCAAGGTGAGTTGGGTAGTACTGGTCTCTTT